TAAAAATTATTCACAAGAAAAAACAAAAAATAATTGGAATGAATACAAAATGCATAGAAATAGGGCCGTCAATGTAATTAGAACAGAAAAAAGTAAACACACAGAGAAAAATATTTATGAAAGTAGTGGAAATTCAAAGGAAATGTGGAAATATCTTGAATGTCTGATTCCAAAACTAATAAGTCGAATAACTTAACTGAACTTGAACTAGAAAATAATGTTATTATAAAAAATATTTTTAATAAATTTTATATAGACAGTATCCAATCAATTGCTAGTATGATTGATCATACAATATCAGATTATTAAATTTTAGACAGACACAATGGAAATTTTCTTGGAAAATTTCAACTATGGTGGATTCTTTAAGAGACATTCTTTTTGCAATGAAAAATAAAAGTAGCACAGATAACATTAATATTAATATTTTAAAAAACTGTTTTCCCAAACTCTCAGAACCACTTTTAAATTTGATAAATTCGTCATTAGAAATTTCAAAAATACCTAATGCTCTAACAATTGCTATGGTAGTGCCTGTTCCAAAAACAAAATACGCAAATAAAGCTACAGATTAAGGCCTATTAGAATGTTAAGTTATATCTAAAAAATCATTAACAAGATCGTTTATGAACAAATTGTTAATTTTTTAGAACAAAATAAACATAACTGTGAATCAGCTATCCAGTGTGTTTTATATGATTGGAAATACAAATTTGATAAAAAATATCTAACATTGACAGTTTTATAGATCTTCAAAAGGCATTCGAGACTGTTGATCAAAACCGTTTGATAAAAAAATTGAAAAGTATGGGTATAGTAGAGCAAGCATTGGAGTGTGTGGATTATCTAAGTAAGAGGAAACAAAAGTTAAAAGTAAATAACATTTTGTCAGAGGAAATTAACTATATCAAAGGTGTTCCGCAGGGAAGTATATTGGGTCCCCCGTTGTTTTTAGTGTATATCAATGACATTGTTAATTTCAAGGGTCAATGTGACATTCACCTGTTTGCTGATGATGTCCTAATATATTTTTCTTGTAAGGCTTCAGATAACTTGGTAAGAGTTGCTAATGAAACACAGCAACATGTTTATAAATGGTGTTGCAATAATTTGTTGAAAATTAACACAAATAAAACAAAATGTTTGCTGATAAGTAGCAACTATAACTATACACAGTTTGTTGATAAACAATATAACATAACAATTGAAGGAACTTTCACTCCCCCCGTTTCCCCCTTAGATAGAAAATAAATAGATATAATTTATATGTATAAAATTGTTTGTCCTGACTGAGTGACTGACCTATCAACGTACAGCCAAAACTACTAAGCCTAGGAAGCTGAAATTTAGAACATAGGTTTATTTTATAACGTAAGCATCCACTAAGAAAGGATTTTTGGAAATTTTAACTTAAAAGGGGGAAAATGGGGGGAGGGAGCTTTTAATAAAACTCTTTGTTCTTTAAAGTTAGAAACATGAAAATTTAAATTAAAGATACTAAGCATAAATAAATAATGACGTGTTTCAGGGTTTTTAGATTTTCACATTTTAAGGGGAGAAAACCGGGGTTGAAAGTTTGGATGGGACTATCGATTTTTTTGTTCTTTTTGAAATTAGAAACATGAAAATTCAAATTGCAGCTACTGACTACAAATTATTAATGACGTGTTTTAGGGTTTTTGGATTTTCAGATTTTCAGGGGTGGGACATGGGGGGGTGAAAATATATTTGGGGGTATTCATGTTTTTGGTTCTCTTTAAAGTTACAAACATGAATTGCAGCTACTAAGCACAAATTAATAATGACGTGTTTCGGGATTTTTGGATTTTCACATTTTAAGGGAGGGGGGGGGGGGGAATCAGTGATGAAAGTTTATTTGAAAGTATCGATTTTTTTTAAGGTAGGAACTTGAAAATTGGAATTGTAGGTTCTTATCTTAAATAAATAATGACGTCTTTTAGGGTTTTGGCATTTTCACATTTTAAGGGGGGAAACGGGGGGTGAAAATTTGTTTGAAAGTATGTATATATTTTTTTGTTCCTTAAAGTTAAAAACATGAAAATTTGATATACAGCTACTGATCAAAAATAAATAATGATTTGTTTCATGGTTTTGGGTTTTCACATTTTATGGGGGGGGGGGGGGGGAAATAAAAATAAATAAAAATAAATAAAAATAATTAAAAATAAATAAAAATAAATAAAAATAAATAAAAATAAATAAATAAATAAAAATAAATAAAAATAAATAAAAATAAATAAAAATAAATAAAAATAAATAAAAATAAATAAAAATAAATAAAAATAAATAAAAATAAATAAAAATAAATAAAAATAAATAAAAATAAATAAAAATAAATAAAAATAAATAAAAATAAATAAAAATAAATAAAAATAAATAAAAATAAATAAAAATAAATAAAAATAAATAAAAATAAATAAAAATAAATAAAAATAAATAAAAATAAATAAAAATAAATAAAAATAAATAAAAATAAATAAAAATAAATAAAAATAAATAAAAATAAATAAAAATAAATAAAAATAAATAAAAATAAATAAAAATAAATAAAAATAAATAAAAATAAATAAAAATAAATAAAAATAAATAAAAATAAATAAAAATAAATAAAAATAAATAAAAATAAATAAAAATAAATAAAAATAAATAAAAATAAATAAAAATAAATAAAAATAAATAAAAATAAATAAAAATAAATAAAAATAAATAAAAATAAATAAAAATAAATAAAAATAAATAAAAATAAATAAAAATAAATAAAAATAAATAAAAATAAATAAAAATAAATAAAAATAAATAAAAATAAGTACTGCGTGTAATCCGGTGATATTAGCAGATGAGAGCCGTACCAGAAATGTGGTATAAAATGAGATTATCAATTAGATTAACATATTTAAATATTAGAATAATCTAATTAACATTAATCTATAATATTATCACAAACATACATCCACGTATATTGTTCATTCTATGCATTAACTACAGAACAAATAGTAGATCATATCAGTCTACTGAACGGTTATAATGTAATTTACATTGTACTAAGAATAATGTATAAATTTGAAATCCACCAATCGCGGTTCATATATAATGACCAATCTATTTTTTTTTAAACGAGTTAACAATTTTTCAAATTATCTGTATATTTTTTAGTTAGAGATTAAAATATAATTCAATTAAAAATGAGCAATTCTTTTAAAGAATCAATAATGGCAATTTATATTAGATGTATAAAGTGTTGCCTGGACAGAGGCAGAACTTGCTTGATGCCAAACAAGCATGTGGTTTTATTCAGCTATGAGTCTAGTATATTTATATGTCTATATTTCTACAGTATGTCCCCCTAAGTTGGAATCACATGGAAAACTTTTTTATTAATAATTTTAAGAAAAAAAGTTATTCCTCATAAAAAGTTCTGCATTACCTAAAACCTACAGTACAGTCATCAAATATCAAATTTTTTCAGCGGTATACGAGGTTTGTCAAAAAATATGAGTTTTATTCAAGAGTAAAGTACCTTCAAACTTGACAACATCGAAAATTGTTATTGAAAAAAGTTGATCACAATTAAAAATTACGTTTAAATATGCAACAAATTATTTGTTTGTCAGTGCATCCTAGATTACATGTAATTACAGTTAAATTTGCATTATTCTAGACATACATTTTAAAAATAATTCTATTAATGCATATTTAAACGTAATTTTTAATTCAACTTTTTTTTGTAATATTTTTCGATATTGTTCAATTTTAAGGTACTTTACTCTTAAGTAAAACTCATATTTTTTGACACACCTCGTATACCACTGAAAAAATTTGATATTTGATGACTGTATTATAGGTTTTAGATAATGCAGAACTTTTTATGAAGAATAACTTTTTTTCCTAAAATTAATAATAAAAAAGTTTTCCATATGATTCCAACTTAGGCGAACATACTGTATATTCTTGTTCCAAATCGTCATCAGAAAAGTCTAAAAAAAAATGATTATCTAACTAATACAGATCCAAATTAAAAAAATTGTAATTAATAATTAGGCTTTATTTGGAACCCATAATGCACTGTCCATATAATGTTTTTGTTTTGATGTTTTGATATGAGCTTTCATCTTCTTAATTGAGTTCCACTTGGATTCGCCTCTAAATCCATAACTATTGTTACGTTCGTTTATTTTAAACAGTTTAATTGAGTAGTTTATTTCGGAAATAACCTAAGTCACTTTTTATCCATATACCTATAAGTTTATCACATTAATATTGTAGTTTGAGTAAAACACGTTTAAGAAAAACCTAACTTCCGTAAACATCCTTATATGATAATTTAAAATTTTCGTTTATATCTGCAACAACCTTACTCCTGGTTCTTGTCCAAAACATTTTTTTCACCTTCTTAAAATTCTCAAAATGTGATTTAAGTTATTTCTGAAATAAACGATTCAATTATTCTATTTTATACCATCAAAATCAAATACACCAACTTATTTTATAACTAATCTATTTGTAGTCAAAACTACACTGATTTATATTTACTTTAAGAATTTATCATTACTTGAAAATATTTATTTCTAAATTAACTTAAACGGCAAATATTCGTCTATTTAAATAAAAATTGCTGCGCACCGCACTGTTCTCTAAGAATTCTAGGTATTTTTCGAAAATACTAAATGAGTTTTGACAACACTTGAAGCGTTCTGCAGCTTTCGTTTCACATTCACATGAAAATATTAAAATTGATTTCTAAATATTATCCATATCTCAAAGTGATCCGAAGTAGATAAAGTAGAAAAGAAAACATACAGGAACCACGTGATCTTTATTAGATTCAACCTATCAATTGAATATATTAAAGATCCTGTAGACATACATTGTGCCTTTTCTTTTTAACTTTATTAAAATTGATATTAATTTGTCTAATGAGCTAGTTTCCTGAAAATAACCTTATTAATATATTTATAGCTTCGTATGATTGCTTTTTTTAGTTTAATGTCCTAATCCAACTGAATTTTTTCATACAAACATCAATAATTAAATTTATTTTCCAGGTTTCTTGTTTTATTCTGGCTGTAGCCTTACGAACGGGACAAGCCGGGGTTATTCACAACGATCAAGCCCAACAACAACAACAACAACAACAACAACAACAACAATATCAAGAAACCCAACAACAACTACAACATCAGCTTCAGCAACACATTCAGCAACAAATGCAGGAACAAAATCAGCAACAAAATCCACATTACGATCAACAAAATCAAGCGAGTTTGGATTATCATCAACAGGCGTCGGAATACGGCTCGAATGATTTATCTCATCACGAGGGACATCAAGAAATAGGAGAAGGTAAAATTTCAAATGCATTTGTGATGTTTTCAACACAAATTTTATGTACAATGTAATGCATCATTTACGGCAGTGGCATTCTTATTATATTATTTAATTTTATAAAACAGTATGCTAGTCTCTAAAGTAACAGCAGTCATAATCCGCTAAAGTGCTACTTATGAAAGAAAAAAATTCCTGAAAATGCGAGTTAATAATAGTTATTTATGTACAAGGGTATTAGGTAGATGTTTATGTCCTGAGGGTTTCTAACCCAAGGGTGTAAGTCTCCCGAGGGTATACGCATTATTAATACCCTCGGTGCATGCAAACTGTCATAATAGTTCATTATTGTAAAAAAAGCAGAAAAGGCAAGACAAAACTTGTTATCGAAGAAATAATATGCGTGACAATACTTTTTTCTGTCTTCTCTACAGGGCCGCCGAGAGCCAGGCCGGGCCCCGGGACAATTCTTTAGATCGGGCCCCGTGACAAAAAAATCTTTAACCAAAAACTGTTCCTCTTCTACTGAAAGAATAGATGATTAATATGACAATAAAATCTCAAACTTTATAATTATTTTTACACCTATAAGGGAAAGATATACTTACATTGGTAACAAGGTATTTTTAGAAAAACTGATTACTCTATCCGTGTTGATAATTTGAATTAATAGAGTGAATGTAAGATCACACCTTTTAGAAAAATTGGGACGAGAAAGAAATGAAGCAGGTAGGCAATGTCGTTGAAAAAGATAAATATGTAGAAATTATTTTAAAATTATGATAAAAAATTAGTGGAAACAACAAATGCAGTTGTCGCTATGGGAGATCCAATCAGCAAAAAGTAAAAAAATAAGCTTGTTGAAAAAGGGCACAGTAATAGGCCCGAAAGAATTCTTTGGTTTATTAATAAATATAATATTGTGAGATGCAAAAAAATACTGCCAAGTGGAGAAACAGTATTGTTCCAATATAGAAAATACAGGGATATACAGCAACGCACCAATTATAGGCGCATAGTCACTGAATCATAAATAGTCTCCTCTCGATTTTATTTTTAAAACTTTTTGAGAATACCAATTATTATTTATTACATTGAATTTAATAAAAGCCACAAATTTCGAAAGTATTGAAAGTTATTTAAAGTGTACCTATACATATATAGAAAATGTTTTTATTAATTTTTTTTGGGGTAGGTAATTATATTTTGATTTTCTTTGGAATAAAAAAAAAATTCTGTTTTTATTAACTGAACAAATAATATTTATGTAAACATAATATTGATGGCTTAGAAGCAATACCTCGTATGGTTGGAGGTAGATATTCTTTCTTTTTCGGAAAAACAAATAGTCCACCCAGCTAGCACAAAAACATCCCATCTACGTTAATAAGCTGCAATTTTAGGCTCTTTAAGCTCGCATGCAATGTACTGTAAATGTAACCCTTATCTCCCTGCAACTACCGAATGTCCGCAACGGCAAGACTTTTATAGCACATCTCACAGAAGTTACAAAGGGAAGTTCGAAAAACATCACACTTTAAAAGCCGATGGATATGTGATAGACGAATGGTGAGGATAATCAATCATTTAAGTTAACCTAAAATATAAGAGTTCAAATATAAAACGACTGCAGAATAGATAAATTACATCAATCACTGATGGAACAATTATTGAATAAAAGAACACACCTTATATCACAAACACAAGTACACATGTGGGATAGAAGAAGCTACCTAGAAAGCACTGAACGTTTGGACAAAATTAGCTAAATAGTATAATAAGGTACCAATATTGCAAAGGTTCACTAAAACCTTAAATGGTGAACGATGATAAAGCTAGATTGGTGAAAAATCATGGTATAAAAAATAAAAGGTAGGATATCAACAGTGTCAAAAATAGGACGGCCACGCGCATGGCGTCACGCGTAGAGTTTGTATAGGCGCGAATTTAAAAATACTAACGAAGTATGAGAAAAATATATGCTAACTTATAGAAATTTGATGAATATTAAAGATAATATTTTAGAAATTACATAAAATATCTATGGATATTATTATGGGATAGTTAAGGAAAGAACTATGAAGGAACATAAATGCAAATACATACATAAAAGAAATTTTTTTGAAAAGTTTTTACCTTTTTTTTTTAATGATTAATTTAATTTCACATCTGGATATGCCGGAAATTTTTACCTGATTAGGATTTGCAACTCATTTACCTGCATTATTTTACCCAATTGGATAAAAATAAGTATTAGAAAAAAAAATTTCCCATAATATAATGCAGAAATTCATATAATGCAAAACATAAAAAAATGTACCAAATACAAATAACTGTTACAATACAAAAATAAAATAAAATGTCGCTGCATTTTTCCTGGACCTAGTCGCTGACAGTTGTTAAATCATTCATGAAATACAAGTCGAAATTTTTTTTTGTGACATTTACAATTTTTTTTTTGCTTATATTGAGAAATTTTTAGCCTTCAAAGGGTAGAGTCTCCAGTTTAGAAGTCCCAAGTTGTGAATTAACCAATGTGATTCACACTGGTTCATTCACAACTTCACATTATGTGAAGTTCTGATTTAAGATCTCTCTTATAATTGGAAGGTTGAAGGGTGCTTGGAATACATATGAAAATTTATCTGCAGGGTTACAAGCCACTGAAAAGGCTGCTCCATGCCGAATTTTCTTGGGACGGATAGTAGAATTGCCTATTTAGCATATTTTTTTTTAATAAAAGGCTCATGGATTTTAAGAATTTTAATCTAGGGAACGGCATGCTCCCCTGGGCCTCTGCTGGAGCCGCCCTTGGGCCACTTCTTACTTCTGACTAAGCTCTTACTGTCGAGGAAAGCGAAAAACCATATCTTTCTTAAATCCTTTCCTTTAATTGTTACTATTACATCCGTACCGCAATTTTTCAATGTTTTTCATTAAAGCCACTCACAGAGAACAAATTTTACAACACAATATAATACAAATATCTGTTCATTATCTTATAAATCACTATAAACGACTCACAAACTACTGCAACATGCGTCTGTCATATAATATTTATTTCGGGCCAGCTCTACTAACTCTACGCATGACGTCAGCGCCGCCATGACACCATGCGCGATATCCCCCCCTGGTGAAAAATAATAAACGAATACAACAATGACTAGGTACATATTAGATTACTAGAGGATAGCTAAGTTCGCTGATTTCTTACCTAAGACGCAGAGATATATCTTTTTTAAATCAAGCCTTTTAACTTTTTTGCATAGATATTTATAAAGTGCTATAATGTAACCTAAATATGACAATTTATTAGAAGAGCATAAATTATATTTTTATATAAAAAGATTTTACTTCTCAATACATTGAATAAAAAAAAATTGATAACTTGTTTACCTATTACTAATTAAAGGAAATTATATAGAAATTAAAAAAATATGCCTTACTTTGTTGTTTTAAATAAAACAACCAATGTTAGTGTATTGAAATTTGTTTGAATTTTACAAATTTTATGCTTGATTTCCAAAGTAGATATATCGATGGCTCAATCAAAAACCGCCACAAGTCAAAAAACAAAGCAATTACATTTTTGGTTCAATGAATGCAAAATTTCATTACGGTTTTACTTTAAATACCACCACAAACAAAAATATCCTTAAAGATAAATCATTTAAAATGTAGCCACAAACTGTGTTTAAAACTGCCTCAATTCGAGTTATTTTCTTCAAAAACACCAAAATTTTTTACAACTATGCAACAACTCACTTTTATAATCGTAATCATTTTATTTAACAGCAAAATATCGAAGCTTTTAAATAAAATATAAAGAGTATTTCAAAAACAAAATAATGATAATTGAGACTTACAAAATTTCAAAATGAAATTTCTCGAAATAATAGTATTTTAGTTGTGGCAGTATTTGATTGAGCCATCGATATGTAGATTTTATAAAAAACAACTGGTGTTTTTTAGCAAGATATTCTACTATACTCGAGAGTATCATCTATGATTTCTCTCAACTTTTCTGCTGGGTTTTCACTTGAACTGATGGTTGCATTTCCAGGCAATCTAGCCTGTTGAAGAGAATGAACTGCTTGAATTCTGATATACCTGACATATCATGTACCTATAGATTCACTTTTTATAAAACTTCAGGTGTTATATTCTTCTTTACACTTCTGTAGTATTTACTTTTGCTTCTAAAATTCCTAGAATGTCGAAGGAAACCTAAAAAATAATATTTTTAAAATGTATTTTTAGTTCGATAAAGTATAATTACCTTTTATAAGTATTTGGTGTCATCGGCATCGACTGCTAAAGATACTTAATGAATAAAATAATAAATTTACATCAGGCATTGTAATCTGAAACAAAGACAATGGTTAAGAAAATAGTTATCTATTTTATAGAGGTCCCTTACCAAATCTATTCGAATGTATAAATAATAATTATTTATAAAATAAATTCTGGACTGGATGTCGAAAAATAAACCATTAAAAAAGACAATTGACAAGAAAAACTGACAAGTGACAATTGACATAAAACTAAACGTTCTGAATTCAGATTTGTAATGTTTACGGTAGGTTAACTAGGTAAATAACAAATAGAAGTTTTGCGAGGTTTTGATTTCCCTCAACAACTTCTCATGAACGTTGCATTTACGTTGTACAGTAATGTTATTACGTACCCTTAATGCAACATCGCCGAAAGGCTTGACAACGTTATGTGCTAGCTGGGCATTTAAAATAACGGTAGAAGGTCGAGAAACGCCGCACTTGACGAGACCACTTGTCCCCTACGTATTTTGGGGCGCTGATTACGAAAATGAGGGTTAAAACTGACAGCAATGGTTGGAACAACCCATAAGTTCCAAAAAAATACCCCTAAATATGGGCATTTTTCGACTGTTGTTTTGTTGTTTTGCAAACTAAATTTGTGTGACACCCCCCCACATGCCATAAACACCCCTATCAACCGGTGGATTTTAGTGAAAAATGAAATATAAAATACAAAAACTAAAAATGGAATATATTTTTATTAATAGATATGAAATATGACTAAAGACTAAAAAAAACGAGTATATTGATACTTTTTGTTTAAAAATTAAAATTAATTTGGAGTGTGCTGGACAGCGACCCAAAAAACATATAAGATGACTTAGTTCGCGAAACACCGTGACTGGTAATTTTTTCCGAAAATTCACCCCTTGGGAGGGGTGTTTCTGGCATGTGGGGGGTGTCACACAAATTTTCCAGTCTTGACACCCTGATTTTCGAAATCAGCGACACAAAAAACATATGAGATGAGTTAGTTTGCAAAACAACAAGTACAGTCGAAAAACACCCCTATGTAGGGGTGTTTTTTACAATTTTAGGGGTTTTCCAACCATTGCTGCCAGTTTTAACCCTCATTTTCGCAATCAGCGCCCCAAAAGACGTAGGGGACAAGTGGTCTCGTCAAGTGCGGCGTTTCTCGACCTTTTAAGGCACCGAGAAATGTCGCTTCATATCTAAAATACATACAATTATATGAAACACATTTCGCACGGCGCGACACGAGAAGTGTCGTCAAGACAACACTTCCTGGAGACACTTCTGAATCTGCCTCGGGGCAAAGGTTTGCTGCGTGCCGTACTCGGGGTCACTGTCCTCGAGCATCGGTTCATTTTGAGAGTGACTAGGATGGAAATTTCTTTCGATCTAGGCAGCGTTGCCAGATTTTGGAACAGTATGGATAAAAAAAACCATAGATCTGAACAGTAGATTTTAATAAAGGGGGAAATAATTATAATTTGCATTGTAGTAAATAAAAAAACAAGTATATAAGAAACGAAAAATAAACTTTTTTCTACCCAAATTAGAAAGTAAACAAAGAATAAAAATAAATAAAAACATTTTTATTATATACTTAACGTACGGGAAAAAAAACCAATAAAAAATAATAAGTACTTACTTCTTTTAGATCAGTCTGAATCAGAAAATTCAAAATCGTAGTGTTTGGCAAATGCATGTTCTTTTTATGATGCCCTATTAATTTATTATTGTAGTTTAAATAAAAACAAACCTACAATAGTCACTGCTTATTACGCTGCTTTTACTGCAGAAAATTTACTAGAGAAAATATTCTTTAACCATTAAGAACAAAATTTACTAGAGACAAAAACACTGGATCTACGTAAAAACAGTAGGTCTGGCAACGCTGATCGTTCCCTCGAATGGTTATTTGCAAGTGTCGCATGACACTTCTTCAAGCTTCCGAAATGTACGGAGCGTAACATTTATGCATCTGTCGTCCTACTGGTCTCCTCAGTGGTCCCCTGTCTCTTGACGCGGCTACCGAAATAGTACCTTTACCGTTATTTTAAATGGACGGATATCGTATAAAAACACGTTTAACGGCTACCCAAGGACGGACTATTAGCTGTATGTTACGATTTAAAGAAAAAACGTTATACGTATTTAAATATTATCACATTATTCACATAATTTCCTTCTTCGATTATTTAATATATATCAATAAATTTAGTTTTAAAGGCAACACTTTTATAATTGCTCCGAAATAAATATTCACGACTCACAATAAAAACCGCCATGAAACTACAATATTTCATTTACTTGAATTATTTAATTATTACACTGAATATTAAAAATCAATGAAGGATGTTACGAAAAATGCAACTGTTATTAGTATCCTTTTATTATAAAAAATTTAAATTACTGTGGAATATATTAGTCTGGCTTTAATTTTTAAAGTGATTGAAGTATCCAACCATGTCCTGTTCCAAAATAACGTGAAGCAACAGATACATGGTTATGTCAAAACTATCATCTTCACTGGACATGTCATTCAGGTTTATAATGCAAGAATGAGCCGGAAATATTCGATGGTTATTTTCAATGTTAGTAAGACGGAGAACGCAATTGGAGTATAATTCTTGATATGAACAAACTACCAATAACTTCTGTGATAACATCTAAAACGATTTCAGACAACGCAGAATTAATTTTTTTTACCTCCATTTTGATATTACTCCAAATTAATTCTATGGCATTTAATGTACGATAATACGGTGGTAAATGTATTACGGTCTGAACGAATGCCATAGCCATCTAATCTACAACATGGCTAGGTTTGAGATTTGAGCCTTTCAATATTGAAAAAAAAAATATTTTTTTATTAAACTGTAGGTGGATATGATACACCCATTTTGTCCAAAAACGCGGAAACTACCTCTTTTCGAGCTTTCGTTTTTGGAATTTCACTAGTTTGACGAGAGTGGTAAGGGGCATTATCCATTACTATAACAACATTTGGTGGCAAATTAATTGAGGCCCCATAGGAAGGGCCTCAGTAATGACACTACATGCTGTTTATAGAGATAAATATATTTCTCTACGAGGTGTACTCAAAAAAAGTCCATTTGAAATAATAAATTTAAAATCTAACTTTCAAAAATCCTATTAATATGACAAACTATTATACCTTTTATGTTTAAATAATTTAGTCTCAATTTGGTCTAAATAAACTCATAAATTTAAAAGATTATATCTTTGTCACCTTGTATACATTTCCTCATGACCTGCCCTATATTGTGTTTAATTTATAGTGTATTTAATGGAGATTGATTTTCCAAAAGTACACCATATCTAATGTTATTGAAGTTAAAAGAAAATATATTATTACCTGCCTATTTTTTATCTCGAAAATGTTTTAAAAATTTACTTAATACGAAGATTTTGTAAGTTCATTTAAGGTTAGACACTATTAGCGCCACTATTATTTTGACATTAAAGCATGCGCAGATCGTTTAAGTTCTAGATAATACCTGTCCTTAATTGTAGATGTTTAAAGGTAACAAATAGTGCCGACTGTATCAGCCTTCGTGTGCGCTCGCCGACATTCGTAATAGTTCGAAGTTTCTCTATATTAAATATTTAATGCCATTATTACATCTAAATTTTTAAAAAATAAGCATTTCTAATGTCTCTTCCATATTATGTACTATTATAGACAATATCAAAGATGAACTCTGATTTAAAGTTTATAAATGAGGTTAGAAATATGTATATGGATAAAACAATCTCATGTTAATATTTCATGTTTGCAATAAGTTTTATTTTAGCATGAAATTAATTTGTCTCTACTTACGTTGTCACTATTAGTAGCTGACGTTATCTAATTTTGCAATAGAGAGTTGAAGTAATGATATGAACGTAAACGTATACGTGAAAATTGACATCTACGCATACGCATTCAAATATTCTTCACGTTCACGTCTACGTATATACGTAAGCTTGCGGGCTCTGGTGAATGCACGTAACGAAAACAAAATAACCTCTTTTTAATTGGAAAAGAAGAAATCCTAATAATAATTGTCATGACACGTAAATGTCACGATGCGTTTAACAACTTCAGCTCATATTTTGGAATAAACCGTAAACATTATTTTTATGCGTTGACATTCACGTTTACATTAACGTACTGGAAACACTTCAACTTTCTAATATCTCTCTAATTATAACTTATATCTAAAAAATGCCATATTTATAATGTTTTATTTATGTTCAAGGAGGCTATGGAGGTGGCCAGGACTTCCACGGTTACTCTGGCGATTCTGGAGGCGCTGAACACAGCCATGGATCTTACGAATCTCATTCATCCGGGGAAAACTTAGGAAACCTCATTTCCCACGGCATCAACATAGGATCCCATGACAGCGGACACCACGAAGAACACGTAGACCTTCAACCAAAAGTACAAGTCCAACATGATTATATTCCAACGCATACAGTCGAACATACACAGGCAGAACCTGTAGAAGTTGTTAAAAAAATCGGAGTACCAGTTCCGCATCCCGTCGGAGTACCCACACCTCAAATCATTAAAGTTCCAGTACCACAACCCTATGCAGTACACGTACCGGTACCTCATCCAATCCATGTGCCCATTTACAAACTGGTAGCTAAAGAAATCGAAAAAAGAGTCCCTATTGAAGTTGAAAAATTGGTACCGGTCTACGTTGACAAGCCTGTAAAAATCGAAGTCGAGAAACATCATGTCGAGTATGTAGACAAACCCTACCCCGTACACGTTCCAGTTTACAAACATGTTTTGCACTCGAGTGGCCACAAAAAGTGGTGAAGACTGATTGTTTTATGGACTTATATATACTCATTTATTCCCAAATCTAGGTCAAAAGGTGAAATCATAAAATTTTGTTTGTGATTCTGCTGCGGACCGAGAGTAAGATAATGAGAATTTTATTTATTAGTCTCTGTTTAGCTTCATACTTTTGTATTTGGGAAAAAGTTGTGTTTTATGCCATTTTGTTATTTTTTGTATTGTTGTTAATTTGTTTGTTATATATTTTTAATAAAATTTTACCATATAGAACTGTTCTTTAAAAATCCATTTAAATTCATAAAATTACAAAACATTACCTATTCAATCAACAATGTTATCTTTAAACTGAACCACAAATATGGATTGGAGGAGACTGGAAATGCCATTTTCATCAGGCACGTACAATTTAAAGCGAACCACGCGCTTGCGCATTGAAGTGTACAGGATAGGACTAACACATTTAAACATAATTCGAAAACGATTTAATTACACAATAGAACTAATAACCATAAAAATTCGTAATAGAATTTTATTTTTTTTTTATGGATTTTGAGAGATTTCTAAAAATAAAAACATAGTCTTGTTTGAAACTTTATTTAAAATTAAATAAAAACATAAAAGTACCATTTTTTATGAAATGAATACAACAATCCAAGGCGGTAACATATTTTATATTAAATAAATCTGGAATCACATGATTTAAACAAAACTTTCATATTAAAATATTTTTGTAAGTAAATGTAAATTATTACATGGAAATATTAATTACTCAGATCTTAAAAGTATTTTATTTTATATACCAACTAAAAAACTAAGAAAGTATCGTTCCACAGTACTATGGAATGCACTTGAGCGTACATTAAGAATCATCAATCAAAATAATTTAGAAATTATAGGTATATTCTTTAGTAAATTTAAAACTATTATCAGAAACATCTAGTCACATATTTTACTAAAAGAGTAAAATAAATCCAAACTTAAATGTAACCAAAAACCAAAAATAAATGAAAACAAGAAATTTTCTACGCCATGTGTTACGAAATAAAACGAGCGATCGTTTCTCTTCGGAAAACAACTACTCCTTTAGCTAATACCGTAACAAACATTGAATTATATCCAAAGAAAAACAACAAAGATAAACAATTAACGTTTTAACATTCATACTTTGATCTTGCTTATCAAAGAGAACGTTATTCTTGAACCGGTTTTGTCCTTATTAGGACTCATCAGCAAGAAATGCACATTCTCGATTTCGGTCACTAAAGGAATCTACAAAGGTTGTAAATTCATCCGCTTACATGGACGGAGGTTGTGAGAGATTAAGTACTAACAAAACTTCAATTTTGCCAAGTGCGAAGGTTTTTCTTTTTTACCTTGTGTAATTATAATACTACAGTAAATATATGTTAACATCCTGTTATTAAACTTAAAACATTTATATTACATTAAAAAACGGCACTAATAAATTATAATTTAAAAAAAAGCTATTTCATAAATATTAATAGGTAACAAAAAGTACAAATTTAGTTTTTTAAATTTTCATTGGTGTTTAAACAATATCATCTTTATTAAGGTTTTTATTGATCGTGATATATGACTTTCCTCCAAGGCTACTCATAATTTTTTTTTGGCATAGACTCTTTTGTCATACAGCCAGTCACAAAATGGAAGAGGTAAATCATTAAATATTTAATTTCAAATAACAAGAGGATTAAACGGGGACACTCGCTTCTCGCCTAGGGAACCATCAAGGCATTACAAAAAAAAAAAATAGACATACACTAGGTCACGGTAAGGGGGAAAATAAAACAATAGGAAAGAAAACAAAGGTAACGAGTCTAGGAGAATTACTAATCACAAGCGTATACCTGATTCCATTAAAAAATTATTCAAGCAGTCATAAATGTTTGTGGAATTGGAAGACAATAAACTTTGGATATTCCAAGGGGAGCATATTTTGCATTTAAGCAGGTCGTTATATAGATTTTCAGAGAATTTTTTGTTTTTAGTACAATTAAAGAAGATATGGTCTAGATCTCCTTTTTCATTACTCGTCTCGCATTGGTCACTTTCAGAGACTTTAATTTTGTATAAATGGCTAGGATAACAGGCATGACCAAATCTTATCCTAATGATTGTCGATATGTACTTTCGCGGTATTTTATAATGCTTGTACCAAGGAATCTTAGGAATATTTAACTGAAGAGTCGTATACTTCGTTGGGTTTGTAAAACAATATTCCTGCCACAAGTCTTGCCATTTATTGAATTGATTTCTTTTTAAAATCAGAAACAGATAAATTATATGACGTATTAGAACCTGTTACAGAGCCCTTTTTAGCCAACAAATCTACATGTTCGTTGTGCTTCAGCCCAATGTGAGCTTTAATCCAAATAAAATGCACGTTCTGGTCTCTTTCTGAAAATGTTTGGATAAGTTTCTTAATTTTTATTACAAAAGGGCAAGTCGATGTATTAGGAAGCCCATTTTTTTTAATAGATGTTACAATTTCTATCGTTTATCTGTTGCAGGAAGAGGCGTAAATAAGTGCTTCATAGATGGCCGCAACTTCCGCACTCATAATTATGAATATTGATTTCTCGAAACAAATTTTTATTTTAAAATAATTGAGAATAAACATTTTTTTAGCAGGTAATTGATTATCTTTGATTAAAAATACTTCTTTTAAAGATAATACGACAGTTTTACAATAGTACTACTCCAACGGCCTGGACACAGCTCAAATTGAAATGAAAAGTCTCACATAACCCATTATATTTTTGTATTATCTGCGCTTGCGTACGCGCGGAATTTATTACTACATAAGACAACGGATGAAGCCAGGGAAATGTGAAAAGGGTGTGTTCGCTTTGCTTGCTCTCTCCTGTACTTCTTAGGATGTACATGGGATGAACAGATGGAAAAAGCACGTCCGATCGACGTTTCGGCACGCGAATTTCCAAACGTTTTGAAATTCGCATGAATTTCGAAACATCGGCAGAGCGCGCTCACTACGCTTGCTGGCTCCTCTAGTAACTAGCGGGTAAGTGAGTGTTACGAACGAAGCGTGCTCTTACGGTGTATATGTTAAAAGGGCATTTGCGAATTCCGAAACCAAACACGTTCGCTTTTCTTTCGTTGATTTTAATTAGACACTTGGCAACACCGCGCATAATTGAATTGGCAGAGCATGACAGATACCAGGTCTTCAACAATACCCGAAACCCACGTGATCTGATAACCATCAAAAACCCATCGAAAGGGCCTGATTTGACGTAAAAGGAACTAAACTGAACTGTCAATCCTGTCAGAAATGTCACTGGCGTTCATTTGGGGACTGACAATATTTATATTATATTTGTTTACATTTTATAAACACCCTTAGTCCATTTTTCATTTAATATTAATAAAGCAATTAGTTATTTTTAGAGAATATTGGTGGCTTAATTCTTTTTTGTTGGTAAGTACAAATTTATTTACTGTAACTCGTAAAAGTTAATGACTATATAATTTATTGTAGGTAATGTTATACTGGAACAAAATTATTCGAAAATTTGAGGAACGTTTTCCAGGTGAATAAATGGAATGTGATTCTTTTTTGTCGTCATAAACAAATACTTGTTCAAAAAAGGAAAAAGGTCTAAAATGCTCAAAGTAATAACAGAAGCTGTTGAAGATGTGTAAATTAACATGTTGTAAATTCCCAATAAATTAGTAAAAAAAACAGCACCTCAAACAGGTATGAACGGTGTTTTAAAGACTGACTCTGGCGAGTGAAATTCAAAACATATTTTTTTTTAGGTTCATCACTACGAACTAGCCATAAAGTTAAAAAAAATTCTGATAATGCATCCCCTATAAAGTTTCGGTACTGCAACAATCATTTTACCTTAATTTTGTTAAAACTACATATGGAATATTACAGATCGCTCAATTCAAAATCGTTTGTGAGGTTTATGAATTTGAGCACCTATATTGAATGATATACAAAATATAACTGAGGAGAAACTGCATAATGTGTTCAAAAAAGAAGGTTTAATGCTTTCATTAAAGCTGGTGATTAAGATTTTGAACAGATAGGTACTGTGAATTAGTATGAAAAGATAGAGGAAGTAGAGGAGGCGGGGTAGGATTTTATATAAAATCTACAATTAATTATCAAATACTCACGGTAAAGGAACATGAATGTGTGGAACAGCTATGGGTTCAAACTAAAATTAATCACTGTTTATATATTTTCGGTCTTTTTTATAAGCCACCAAAAAAAAACAACTAACAGTTTTTTGCGAATCTAGAAGAAAATCTTTCAGTATTAATACCTTCATGTAATGACATAATATGCGGTGGTGACATAAACATTGATTTAATGGATAGCAGTTCAACAAATTCGAAAAACTTTATTAATACCATAGAATTATTTAATCTTAAACAAATTATTAACGAGCCGACGAGGGTAACCAAAAATAGTGCTACTTTACTGGATGTGATAGCCATACCTAACCAGTTTGATCCTATTGATAGTGGTGTAAAGGAAGTATTCAATATTTCGGATCATAAATTAACATATTGTACACTAAACTTAACAATTACAGTTGATCCTCCAAAAGAATTTCAGTTTAGAAATTTAAAAAACATTAATCGTGTTATTTTAAAAGAAATGCTGCTATTTACCCCTTTTGAAAATATTATTACTTTTAATAACATTGATGATAAGGTTGAATATCTTAATAGCACGATATTAAATATTTTTGATACCTTAGCGCCAGTTCATACCATTAAATTTAAAAAGCCTAACCCACCTTGGTTAACCGATAATGTTAAATTGATGATTAAGCTTAGAGATAAGGCATTTAACAAATATAAATCTACTAGAAACCCAAATCACTGGGATTATTATAAAAACTTGAAAAATTTTACAACTTCTGCTATAAGAAATGAGAAAAAGGCCTATCTAGAATACTGTATAAATAAATCCAAAGGTAATGGTAAAATTTTTTGGAAAAAAATTAAAGAATTTAATATATCTGCGAAATATCCCATGAATTCGATTCCTATTAACCTTAATAAGCCAGATGAAATTAATAATCATTTTTTAGGTCCGTCGGCACGTAATAAAGAACCAGACACTGATCTAATTGAATTCTATAGTAATAACCTAAAGGATAATTTATGTTCTATA